CGCACACTACGATAAAATTTCCTGTAATGAAACATGCAGCAGATTGTTGAAATGCGTTTTTCTTGAAAACGGACAATTTCTAGAGCTAATGACAAGTATACCATTTTTTCACGAAAATAATGTAGGTTTAAGATTTTTTAAAAAAAGAAGCGTTAACGTTGTGGATAAAAAAATTATGCTCGTATTTACGTCATAAACACGGCGTATGTGGCGCCCTCTAGAAGATACATCGAAATAGATAACAAATTATGATTTCTCGTATACAAAAACATCTACCCCTAAATTTTCACGTTCATACACTCAAAAATATTATAATTATTATGAAAATTCAATTTTTAATTTCCAACTTTGACACCCTGTATCTTTTTTGTTAATCGTAATATTTTGAAGTAAAAAATCTAGTATGTCTCTATGGACCATTACTTACGGACCACCCTGTATATAATTTATATGGAGACATTCTATTTTCAGAATTTCAAAACTGGTTGTCTCTAATGAAGAAAAGGTAAACAATATAGAATTTGAGAAACTGGCGGGATTTAAAATAATTAATAATGCCGAAATTATAAAAATATATCTAAATTGTATTAGATCTTGTAAGATTTTCAGGAATTGCTTTTTAGTTTATGTTTATTAAGATTTTATTATACATTTCACTACTGTACTATTACTACTACTATCACATTACATCAATTTTTCAGTACTTACTTATCACATTTTACATTTTTATGCAAAGCTCCAGAGCCAATTTCTGAGAGAAAAAGGGTTCCTAAGAGTCAAGGCAGTTAAAAGTTAAACCGTTACTGTACTAGCCAAATTATTGTATTGTAGAAAGGTGACAAATGTGAAGTTCCGTATTACAAAACACATTACGGCCATAATAATGATATAGAACACTTGAGAATTTCCAAAAGTGAAAAGGATATCATTGCATCAAAGTTGCTTTTGGGTGTATCGACAGAAAAGTAAGAATTAGTGCCATTCTTTTTTTGTGCAACAAATGAATTTGCATTCAAAAATAAAAAATGCTAAAAGTAACACCAACACTTAAACAATTATATTTAATTAAGTAATAATTATGTATTTGAATTATATATTTTAATTACAAATATTTTATTGATAAACTCATTGCTTTGTACGATTTTGGATAATTTTAGAGATAATAAAATAAGCGAGGAAATCCACCGTAATAATATTATAACAAAAAAAGGTAGAGGAGAAGGTCCGAATATGGACCATGTACTTAATATGGGCTCCATGGCTATTCCTATTAGAACATCTAGCGGCATCACTGAATACTTAATACTTTAAAAGACAGCTACCTAGTAGCGAACTGTTTTACCGACAGTGTGCAGTTGATTTCTTATATTGTTAGAAACAGGTGGTGGTGAATGTGTTACTGGAATTCTAAATATTATCTGAAGGTAAGTTGTTATTATGTTTTATACGATTTTTAGTGATTAGGTATGTTTGTATATTCACCTAGATATTTTGTATAAAGATCAAAGTTTGTTTTGTTCAGAAAATATTTTGATTCACTTAAACTCTACAAATAATAGGTATCTATTGTTGAATGACATGCAATGCTGGTAATATGGGCCTTTTGTGGGTCCCAATATGGGCCAGGGCCTATATCGTCTCCTGATTTTAAATTCAATTCTTTTTCCAGGTTGACCACCAACCAAAGTTTTTACCAAACACATGTCTTAAATGTTTATGATTTTGAACCAACTTTTGATTTGAATTGATGAGTTTGGAGAAGGTTTCCCTGTAGCATGTATGTCCAGTAAATTATTTTTTACGCATATTAAAAGGAAAGTGGGAAGGGAAAACCCAAAAACATTTATGACTGGATATTACAAATACATACTTTAATGCTTGGTGTTTGGTTATGGGCTTGCCCATAAATAGATTGTTTTGTTCATGGCACGTTGACCGTGCCTGGCAAAACAATCTATCTAAAGTTAAAGGTGTCGAAAAAAGGAAATGGGTATATAAGACTCTGAAATATCTGCAAAGAAATTGGATTGTATACAATTTGAAGAAGAATATGCTGCTTTAATTAGTTTACTTCTTAATCAAGATGAAGTACAAAAGAAATAGGCCTTTATTTAATTGTTCACTACAGTAATTGTACCAAAACTTGGGCTTATTGCTACAGAAAACAGTGTGGTATTTCCACAAACATGCATATTGAAAACATGCATAAAAACCTAAAATATACATACCTTGAAGGAAAGAAAGTCAAACGTCTGGATAAGTCCTTATATTTGGTGCAAAAGTTGATGAGATAAAATCATAGATATATTGATTAAGTTAAGAAAGGGTAAGACAACTAAACATTCTTAGCAAATAAATATGGAACACCGACTTCCTCTAACATTAAAAGGTGATATAATATTAGAAAATACAAATCAATTTCTTATTAAGAAACCTAATAACAAAGATCATTACGTAACAAGGATGCATGATAATCCTTGCTGCAATTTAAAGTGTGTATATTGTGTTGTATGCATACACACATTTGAATGTACGTGCTTATATTTCAATATTAAAAATATTATATGTAGGGGAGGGTGGTACACAATGAAACATTGCAATTTGTCAATTTGAATTTGCCGCTACAACGCCACTAGCGCTGTCGCGGATGAGTCTTATGATGTTGCATCAGCCACCCGTTAGTTGCATTTGATATTCGCAAGAGTGCACATTTCATGACCAAATTTGTGTTTTTTGTCTTAAAGTAAAAAAAAAGAAGCCACTATAAAAAGGTATGTTATTTACAATTAAGCAGTTTTAGTATCCGTTTATATTTGTTATGAATAAGGGTATGCATTTCTTAACCTATAAAATATTTTGTCCAAAAATGTTCTTGTCTTAGATTTACATCCAATTAAAAAAAAATGCGTAGTGGTACACATTGAAACATGGGGTGGTGGTACACAATGAAACATGTTTCATTGTGTACCACCTTGTGTCTTTCTGGCCGTAGAATTTTTGGTTGTAGGTAACCATGGTAAGGAAGAAGAAGGAGCGAACAAGAGCTAAATTTACAGGCGATCAAATGACCGCAGCAGTCCAAGAGGTCAAAACAAATGGGACTTCCCTTCGCATTGCTGCAGATATGTTTGATGTAAATTTTGTCACATTAAGGCGTTATGTACTAAAGGATGGAGCCGAATTATGCTGTTAGATTAATATTTAGCACCGAGCAGGAAAGATCTTTATCTGAATATATAAAGACCTGTAGCAAAATGGAATTTGGGTTAAATACTCAAAAAGTAAGAGAGCTGGCATATGAAATGGCGGTCAGAAACAATATTAATATGCCAGATACCTGGAGAAGGAATAAGTGTGCGAGTAAGGATTGGCTAAGAGCTTTTATTAAAAGAACTAGGTCCTTAAGTATTAGAAAGCCAGAAGCTTGCTCTTTATCCAGGCTTACTTCTTTTACAAAACCTAATGTCGAAAGGTTTTTCCTACAGCTTCAGAAAATATATGAAGATAACCCAGAAGTTGTTCAGGAAATTCAAATTTATAATTTGGACGAAACTGCTACTACGACTGTACAGCGTCCACATAAAGTAGTTACACAAAAAGGGGTGAAACAGTTGAACCAGTGCACAAGTGCCGAAAGAGGATTACTAGCCACTACTTGTGCTATAATTAGAGCAAACGGAACTTTTCTACCGCCGATAATTATTTTTCCCCGAAAGAAGTTTGTCCCTCATATGTTAAATGGCGCGCCCCCAGGCACATTAGGACTAGCAAATCCAAGTGGGTGGATGACAGCCGAACTGTTTGTTGAGGTGTTAGACCACTTTATTAAACATACTGGTGTGACAAAAGAAAGGCCATGCCTATTAATATATGATAACCACGAATCACATGTGTCCTTGGAGATAGCGGAAAAGGCAAAAAACAATGGAATCATTATCTTAACTCTCCCGTCACATATGAGTAACAAGTTGCAGCCTTTAGACAAAGCAGTATTTTACTCTTTTAAGAACTTTTACAATGATGCAATAGATTCGTGGCTCCTCACCCACCCCGCCGTACCCATGACGCTAAGTGCAAAAGTTTCAAATTCATTCTATTTCCCGAATGTTCCGGACATTCATATGGCACTGAAATCAGATTTTGTAATCCTGTTGCCGAGTCCGATACAAACAAATAATAAAAGGCTTTCGTCATACTTTAAATTCGGAGTTGATTTTGGTAACATGATTGTATGCTAATTAAAATCTTTTGTTATTACTTTTTATTAAAAATAAATATTTTAGTTTTTTACTTTTTTACCGATTGGTATTTTTTGAAAAGAAAAATGTTTTTGTTCCTTATTTGAGTTGATTTAGTTTATTTTAGTTTTTTACCAACATTTTTTGAAAATAAAAAATGTTTTCGTTCTTTAAATAATAACATCGGAAGTTATACAAAATATTCGAAAAATCGTTTCATTGTGTACCACTCTCCCCTAGGCATATACATTACATTTGCCTTGAAAAGTATTCAGATGGGACTTATTAAGCAAAAAAATAAAATTAAAGATGAAAATGAGTTAAACATGCTGGCTAGAGATTCTACCTTATGTTTGCCATTGAAGCATTCCAAAGAAAAAATCATAAATGATATAGAACCCAATTTATTAGCAATAATCTCCAAAATAAAAACTGACCACCATTCGTAGGAACAATTGCTATTCATATTAGAGAAATCCAATAATATGAATAGTGTAATGATCATTAGAAATTATAATTTCTTAATTGTCAAAGATACAAGCAGGAAACAAGAACCCTTAAACAAGAATATAACAAATAATTTTATTCTACTAAAAAAAGAAAAAGCACTAACAAAGCAAGCAATAACAAAAAACGAAATCCATATGAGCAACAAATAATCAAGGAAACACTTACAGGTTCAGAGGTTGTTTCTAATGTTACTTGCAATGATCATTTTTATTTATAATAATTTTATTTTTAATTATAAATTATTTATAATAACCTACATATGATTGAAGATCGTATTAATTATTGTAGTTCATATTTAAAAATATAATTTTTGTAATAAAATTAGAATTAGTGTTTACCTAACTTTACTGTTTGCACTATCCCCGAATTTTATACAATGTTTTCAAATTTTCATATCCTAAATACTGACTTGTATAATAAAATTGTTTATTTACTTCTCACCGGCACCATGCATAAATTAAGATTTAAATACTATTTTGAGAATTATTGGTATTGGCGAAAAAATTATAATCTAATATTTTATACAATCTTAACATGACACAAATATAATTCCGTGAATCTTTTATATAATTCGTAAAAATAAAATATGCCTTAGTGTTGCGGCAAATACACGAGTACGGGCCTGTCTAGGCTTCCCTTCCTAGAGGGTGGATGAGATACAACGGGGCAGCGGCGGCCGAGAGGCAGTGCGACGATAACAAGGGTGACAATGCAGTCACGCACGTCACTAGTTAGTAGAATACGTTTTGTTTTGTATGTAGTTTAATAAAGCAATTATTAACGTGAAATTCTCAAAATCTGTACACAACCCTTACATAACACTATGCTTGCATTAATAATTAAAACGAATTGGTTCTATCTTTTATATTTGGTTGCAAAATTTAAACTTGGCGCTGTTATAGGTGCACATGATGCACATGCGCAATAGCACGATCAGATTCCTATGTTTAGCCGCCGGTCATGTGGCGCGGTTCAGCCTGAGAAGGGAGGCTGCGCACGCGACATCGCCTGGCGGGCCCCCCACTCCACGTCCTTAAATCTCGGCGTGCCACGGGGTAGACGGGTAGAGAGTCAGAGCAGTGTTGCCAGATGTGAAGATTTCTCTTCACAATGAAGAATTTTGACCCGAAATTGACCCCTATGAAGAAAATTAAATTTTTTTAAATCAACGAAATGTGAAGAATTTTCCGCTCTTTCCTGAGTTTTAAATTTTCCTAAAAATAATAATGAGACTCATAAATAGAATAGACCGGATAGCAAAATCGAGGGGAATGCACGTAGACGTAGTCCATTGTACTGTACACTGTAGTGTAGGAAACTATTTAGTGTAGACTGCAGAATGAAAAATGATATTTGACAATTTAACATTTGACATTGACATTTTCGTAATAACCAGCTGGTTACATTGCAATTCGCAATAGCGAACCAACAACCAACACCCCTCACCATCAAACAAACCTTTAGTAGATATTATATTTTTTAATCAACAATTTTGGTTGAAATTATATCTTCTTCAGCCCACTCCTTACAGTAAGTACTATAAAATAGTAATATAAAGATTATGTAAGTAGGGCATATTGTTATCATATATATTTTACCTACGACCACTACTGTAAGTACTTAAAAACACACTGTCTGTGATCAATGTGAGATTTCTATTACGTACGGTAAAAAAAACGCACAGTTTTCCTAGCAACTGCCTAGCAACGGCCAATACAATACTGTATTGACCGTTGCTAGGCGGTTACTAGGAAAACTACGATTTTTTTACCAAGCTGTGCGATTTTTTTACCGTACGACGTAATAGGAATCTTGCATTGATCGCAGACGGTATGTTTTTAAGTATTTAAAGTAGTGGTCGTAGGTAAAGTATAGTACGTAATACGTGGTGTAATGCAATTACGCACTCATAGAATTTTCCATTCGTGCGTAAAATGCTTTTTACAACACTTATTACGTAATATACTATTATATTTCGATGTCATCATTAGAAATTGACAGCGCTTCAGAAAACGAAAGCTTGACTCCCTTTCCTACGAAAAAGACCCAAGTACGGCTTCCAAGGAAATCTGAAAAGAATTGGTTGGAAGATGAAAAATACAGTGGGTGGCTAAATGAAGGCATAAATTCAAGTATTATGTGTACTGCATGTGGCCTAAATTTACAAATAACTGGCGGTAAGGCTGATTTAGACAAGTACATGCATACTTTGCAAAATAAAAAAAGTGCAACTAAAGAAAACAACAGAGTCCATTGCCATATTGGATAAAAAGCAAACTGAAAAAGAACTATTTAATGAAAAAAATCTTAAAGCTGAAATAAAACTTTCACTGTTCTTTGCTGAACACAACATTGCAGTAAGGTTAATAACAACCGAACAAAATAGATCATACGATGATGGTTTCATTTTAGTTTCCTTTGACTTACAAAAGGTTCTTACCACTCCCCATGGGCCGGATATGGTATATGGATTTAGTAGAAAATTCGCGGTTTATAATTTTACCGTGTATGAGACCAAGTCAAAAAACGGATTTTGTTATATTTGGGGCGAAAAGGATGGCAAGCGGAGCGTTAATGAAATATGCTCAAATCTATATTCTTACCTCACTAAGCTGGATAATGACGGAAAGTATAAATTAGTGTCACTTTTCTGTGATAACTGCCCAGGTCAGAATAAAAACAAATTTGTTCTGCCGATGCTCCAGCATTTTTTAAAACATTCCAAATCAGTGGAGGAGTTAACAATCACATATTTAGTCGCTGGACATACCTACATGCCAGTTGATAATGTACATGCAGTTACAGAAAAATACGTTTCATATATGAGCATTCAAGCGTTCTCTGAATGGACCACTATAATTAGAAACGCAAGGCGCCGTCCCAAGCCCTATGAAGTAATTCCTGTTCATTACGGAGATATTTTAGACTGGAAGTCTCTTGCGATCCCCAAAAAAATCGTAACCGTGCAAGGCCAAGACTTTAAAATAAATGACATTGTTAGAGTTAAATTTTCTAAAAACAGTGACAGTGTGTTATTTTTACACAATATGACATGCAATTGGCACATGAAATTCAATGGGCTGATATTCGTCGAGCATATAACTCCGAGTTAGGCATTAATAAAAAAAATTGAATGATCTTATAAATCTCTGTCACCAATTTATAATAAAACCTCAATACCATGCTGAGTATTTCGCACTTAAGGCAGACAGTAAAGAACCCGATATTCTCCCACAAAGTGACATAGAAGACACTGTAGAATAGATCAATTACCAACTGGATGAATCTAAAAAAATACAA